GGTAATGCTGTTGTTGAAGTGTTGCATTGAATATGCAACAAGAGTAACAACATATATTAGCATGTCTAAGTCTGTGAAAAGTACTGCCATAAAGAAACCCATATTTACCCCCCCCCCCCAAAAAAAGAAACCCATATTTAACTGTGTTCAGCAGCATTTCTTGATTTAGTTGACATCAGAAGCTTTTTAAGGGCTTGACCTTTGTTAACATCCCATTCAACTTCTATGCTTGTGAAATGCTAGTCTAGAGAAATAATTATTTTTAAGTAAGTCATCAGAAATATTCTGTATTTTCTGACAGTCTCTGAAGTCTTCAGTGTTATTTTATTTTATTTTTTTTTTGAGACGGAGTTTCGCTCTTGTTACCCAGGCTGGAGTGCAATGGCGCAATCTCGGCTCACCGCAACCTCTGCCTCCTGGGTTCAGGCAATTCTCCTGCCTCAGCCTCCTGAGTAGCTGGGATTACAGGCATGTGCCACCATGCCCAGCTAATTTTTTGTATTTTTAGTAGAGACGGGGTTTCACCATGTTGACCAGGATGGTCTCGATCTCTCGACCTCGTGATCCACCCGCCTCGGCCTCCCAAAGTGCTGGGATTACAGGCTTGAGCCACCGCGCCCGGCCTTCAATGTTATTAAATGCAGGTTGTCGGGCTTCAAAATTGCAGGACTGTGGTAGTGATTTCAGTAAATCCTCACAACTGGATTATGTTTAACTCACTAATATAAAAAAATTATTTCTGAAGTTCTTACAGTGTATTCAGCCCTACATGAATAGATGGAATTGGGGACAGGGATTTTATACCATGTGACCTGGCCTCTGTTTTCAAGGGGTTTAAATCTTAAAGATACATGAGACTCAAATGCAGACAAAGTTACTGAAGGCAACAGAACTTTTCGTGTGCCAGTGAGTGCTAAGCTGTTTTGTCGACCCTACAAATATTGGCTTATTAGAAGTAAAGGCCAAGGTAGTCTCAGAGGCTGCTGAGGAATTGAGAGAGTTGAGCCTTGAACTGTGTCTTCAGGAGTGGGCAGATCAAGCAGAGGGGAAAGACAAAGTGGGATAAAGGCACATAAACTGCCTGAGTTGTGTTGTAAAAACTCATGCTGTGGGTGACCTGGAAGAGATCAACCTGCTTGTGCTGGGAGGGAAGAGGAGCTGCAGTGTTTTGCAAAAATAGAACTGCTATCAATGTAGAAAATAAGAACTGCCCCTCCTTACTTTCTTTCCAAATCCTGGGACCTAGAATGTCTTCTAAAATGTCAAATTGTGTTTAGTTTATTTCTTGGGAATATACAAAAGAACTAATACTTGAATACTTAGGGAAGTCCACATGATTAAAAACAAGGCTGTTTTGGAGAATGAAGGGGAGGATGAACGTTGGAGAGTGGTTAGAAATAAATACGCCTTCAGGCAAGTGTCAATGAAATGCTGTTTTCTAAGGAGTCAGCAACCACACCTACGTGCTGGGGTCAGTTAGGTCTGTTTGAAGGGATGTTCTTTTTTAGCTCCCTAGATATTTACTGAGCAAAATCATTGCCTCTTTCCATAATGAAGCCACACAGGTATGTCATCTATACTTGACTAGTTGAGTCATGGCCTTGATTGATACAACCAACAAAAAGCTATAATTTTTTTTTTTTTTTTTTTTTTTTAAGATGGAGTCTTGCTCTGTCACCCAGGCTGGAGTGCAGTGGCCCGATCTTGGCTCAGTGCAATCTCTGCCTCCTGGGTTCAAGCGATTCTCATGCCTCAGCCTCCCTAGTAGCTGGGATTATAGGCACATGCCATCATGCCCAGCCCAAATTCTTAAAATATGTGTTTAGTATGGTTTATGTTGAATCTGATAGATGTTTATATTATTCATTCTCATTTTTCATATTGTTAAAAAATGAAATTGGCACATTAAAATTTTAAAGAATTTATTTGTGCAAATAGTGATTCATGAATTGGGCAGCTCCAAACTGGAAGGAGTTCAGGGCTCCACTGAAGGAGCATGAAGGGAAAGCTTTTGTAGGGTGAACTCAGAAGGAAAGCAAATAAATTATATGATGGGTTAAAGTTTGAGCAGTTGTGTTATTTGTCCTGTCCCAGGGGAAGATTCTTGATTATACAACTGATGCTCAGTTGGCTGCTGGTGATTGGCCGAGTTTAAGTTTTGTTTTGTTTATGTAGAAACCCAGGACCTTGAAGTCATCTCAGCTTGTTAAATTTATTTTAATAGTTTATATATATGAAAAGGATGAAGATAAGATTTCATATGTATATGAAATTTTTTATTTTTACATTGTAATATCAAATGAGTCCCCCCCCTCCACACCAACCAAAGGATAGCAAGGGTAGCATACTACATTTGATTATAGTGTCAGTATTACTGATACTGGAAACATTTTTCTTCACGACTACCAAATAATGACATACAGTCCCTAGAGTTTGGGGCAGTAACCCTGAGTCTGAATTAGGATGAGTGAGCAGCCCATCACCTCATTCATGCCTCAAGAAAGGTTTATCAAAAGTACAGTTTTAATGCACTACAGGATTTACTTTTCCTTCTGCAGCAAGGATCCTTGTTCCAAACCGAATGATGAGTAAGTTTGGGTAGCAACAGTTGAGCTTTGTGGCTTCCCTTTTTTCTTTTTTGCCCAGTCTCCATTTATTCTTAACAAGCATTCTTGACTCAGAAACACAAAAGAAGGTAACAGAATTATATTGGTATTCCCCTGTAGTGGGCTATCTTCTAAGTGAGAAACATAGACTTTTAAAGTGCTTAAAATGCTGAAATAGGATTGGTTTTCTAAGAAGAATGAAGAAAACCTTCTTGGAATGTCAATGAAGAAAGGATAATATTGTTATTGAGAGCTAAGAAGGTGAAAATACTGCAGGCTAGCAGCCAGCGCTGGTTCATTGCCGCTTGTGGTGATTATTGTGCTGTGGCTGTGATGTAAAGGGTGCATCTGAGAACTTCAGAGAGCTTACTGGGGTTCCCCTAGTCTGTCCCATCTCCATTGGGTTACTGGGTTCATCGTAGCATAAATGGGAAACCTATATTTAATTGCTTTTGGTTCGTGCTGTTTCATATAATGGTCTTATTGTAACCCAAGTGACTTTTCTTTCCTTTGTTAAATAAAACAGTGATTTGCGTGGCTTTTAAAGAATAAAGCAAGCAAAATGAGGAGGCTTCGTCAAAAATGTGGTTCATAGGTTTTATTATTGTTCTACCTACTTAGAACTGAGGCCTTTCTGAATAGTGTCCCACTTAAGGAAATTTTCATGGCAGAAATCTCGTTTTTTGTACAGGATGGAAATCTGTGACTTGCTTAGAATTAAAAACACTTGTCCATTTTTATTTATAGCTTCTATAAATGTTTTTCTTTTTTTAAAGGGTAGATATACAAATATGTTGAGACTTGCTTGATGGCAGCCAGACATACCAGTTATTCTAGTTCCCATCTAAAACCTGAAGACAAAAACCACACTCCCATTGTGCCTGTCTGAGGGAACAACATAAGGGCGAATTTCCTTTCAGCTAATTTGTGGAATTTGAAGAAAATGATGTTTCAACTTCATCATTATAGGAATGATATGATTTTTCTTCCCTGCACTCAAAAGTGTAGAATTATGCATGTGATTGGACATTTTTTCCCTGCTACTGAGCTCTTGGTTGTGTTCTAGTCTCTCAGAACTCTGTAAGGAATGTCACACCCCGTGATGGAGAAAAGGCATCCTGCTGTTTTTGCCTGTACCTTTCCATGCCCTTTGCCCTGGAAAATCTTTTTTCTTACCCCCATGATTCTGTTTCCTATGAAGAAGGATTAAAGCCATGGGGTAAATGCCCCCATTTCTTTTTCACAGTAATTTTATAGTTTATGAATTGAGGATATCAGAGGTTGATCAAGAATAACTATCAGTAAGGCCAAGAATTGTCATAGGATTGCATACCTTAGAAATCATAATTGAGCTCCTTAACTTTGTACATGAGGAAAGTATTCACAAAGCAAGTCAACCTAATTTTATTGCCTTGAAAACTGTTTTCTAGCCAAACACAGTGGTTCACAGCGTAATCCCAGCACTTTGGGAGGCTGAGGTGGGGGGATTGCCTGAGGTCAGGAGTTTGAGACCATCCTGGGTCAACATGGTGAGAAACTCTTAATATTATGTCTCTTAAGAAAGTAAAAAATTACCCAGGTGTGGTGGCACACACCTGTAGTCCAAATTATTCGGGAGGCAGAGGTAGGAGGATCAGTTGAGCCCAGGAGTTCAAGATTGCAGTGAGCCATGATCGCACCACTGCACTCCATCCTGGACAACAGAGTGAGACCCTGTCTCTGGAGAGAAAAAGGAAAGAAAACGATTTCCTTTTCAGAGTTTTTTTTTTTTTTCCAGGTGCAATTTCAGTCCTTTCCGAAGTACTAACGTGTAAAAACAAACCTTTTAACAAGTGCATGTGTGGTTCATGGTGGGGAGAAAATGGAAACTTGCTTTTAAATGTCTATTCAGTGTTAAAATATATGAGTTATTTAAAACCATGGTTTTTAAATGAGAATAACTCCCACATATATTAGAATATATGTATTTATCAAAAGAAAATGTGCATATATTTTAACAAAAATTTAAGAATTTAAGTATAGAAATTGATGTAAAAATATTTGATCACATGCAGTAAGGATTGTGGCATCTTTCTGTATCATGATGCTCTTCCATTGGCATTAAAAAAAAATCATTAAAAATATCTGAATGACTGAATCCATTCTATGCAACCAAGAGAGAAATTCATTATGCCCATGCCATGTTTTTGAGCAAATATTGAGTTGATCACTTCAGTCAATAATATGTTTGAATTTGGCTTCTGATCTTCATGAAGAAGAATATCTTTCAGATCATATTATCAATGTGCTGAATTTACCTTATGTTTTTTTCTCTTTCATTGTTTCCCTCTGATGTGGCTGCTGTGTTGACAACCCTCTGTATCCCTGCTGCTGAATTTTTCTTCCATCATTAAGGAAACCTCCCAAGGTAAGCACTAATATGAAATTTGTCATGTATACTGGCTTAGTGTGCAAAAATCTAGGATTTAACTCATCACTGTAACCCATGTAGAACGTGTCTCATTGAGAACTAAAAACAGGATTCTAATTTAAAACTCATATCATGAACAAACAATATCAGTATTAACATAAAATTAGAGTGCCACTCTATGTTGACACAGCACTTTCACACATTATTTCATTCCGGAATGAATGCTGTAATCTTCAAAGCAAACCTGTCAGATTATTGTTTCTATTTTTCTGATGATGAAATGAGACTCAGAGAAATGAAACAGTGTGTGCTAACTCACAGATTGAGTGAATGGAAGAGCCGGAACTGCACAGTGTCGACACTCTGGAAAGCAGAGGAACAAACATGGTAACATCATAGGATAGCAGTTGGTAACTGTGATTACTGATTGGACAAATAGTCTTTTTCTGTGCCTCACTAAGAATAGTTTTTATCACTGGAAAAGTTCTTCACACTTTTAAATAGAGATTCAACATTCTACCAACTTTATATGCCTCATTGGAGTTCCTAGCTCATCACAAGGGCCACTAGTTAGTTTTTATCCCACCTGGTCTGGCCAAACTTTGATGGCATCTTTACCAGTGAGAAGCCCAGAAGTTAAAGAATAGTTAGAAGAGGGAAGTGGGGGAATATGAGAAGTAAGGAATCTGAATGACCAGCCCCTGAAAAACTGAAGATTGATTTTGTTACCAGTGAGCATTTTGTTGAGTATCAGAGGGAAGCTTAGCACCAAAAGGAATGAGAAATTTCACCAGCTTCTGGCCAGTGATACTGATGGTTAAGGTTCTTAAGAAAGGATTAGAACAGGCTTTCCCTACACAAACTGTATGGTCGAAATCTAAGACAAGTTGGGTGACGATATGGAATCCAGAAAAGACAAAGCTTGCTTTCCCCCCGGGGTTATGAAGAACAATCCATCTTAGCTTGTGGATTATGGAAACCCACTAAAATGCTGCTTCATGCTTTATGCTGATTGAGGACATTGTCCTTGGCACTAAGAGTTCAACTTTAGCAAGGAAGGCATGTGTTGAACAAGTAATATGAGATCTATTAATAAAGAGGAAATACGTAATATTAGAAGAGTATTGGCAGTGGCATTCTGGCCAAATCTAGGGAATCAGGAGATTTTCCGTGAGCAATTGTCAATGTAGATATAATCCCTAAAATTGGTCTCTACTGGAACATATGAGTGCTCTTTATCTAGCTTTTACTTCCATTTTCCTGTTGGTTCTCCAAAGTTTCAGAACAGTCAGTCTTGTAGTATATTTAAGTATTTCCCCACAGAAAAATATCAGTGAAATAGTATGCAACTCCACATATGCCTACTTAGTGGAGGAAAAGCACTGAAATGAAAAAGAGACACCAAATCATTCTTTTAAAATCACCATTGCTTTGTACACAGGAATATGCTTGTCACTTTCTAGTGATTATATATGGCCTAGTGGTTACATATTTGCTGGGTATTCTGTTGATTGTTCCTAAGACGTGTCATGAAATTTTCAAAATAAAGTTAAAGCTGAATCATGATGTTAAAAGAAACAGTGCATATATGCACGCTGTAAGGCACATCTGGAAAGCATAAAAATCATCTTGAAATCAAATAAATGACATAATAGAATCAAATAAAGACATACTAAGTGGACACAGGCCTTTCCTCATAGAAACTATGTAAATGTTGAAAGAAAATGGGAAAGGGAAAGGTGCTTTTAATGATGATTATGTAAGAATAAAATTTTATTTAAAACAGTGAGATTTGGGCATAAGTAATCAGCAAAAGCATCAGAGAAGCCTGGTTGATTCGATTTAACAAATAATTATTCTGGGCAGTGGATAGCTGCTGCATGAGTCAGACCCAGTCCTAGCATTCTAATGGGGATAGGGGAGGGGAATAGAGTTGACCTCTGAACAACACAGGTTTGAACTGCGCAGGTACGCTTATGCACAGATTTTTTTCAACCAAATGCAGATCGAAAATAGAGTATTCTCGGGACGTGAAACCCATGTATACAGAGGACCAGCTTTTCATATAGGTAGGTTCCAGGGGATGAACAGAGAGGACTGGAGTCTGTGTAGATTTTGGTATACATGGGGGTCCTCACATATACCAAGGGATAATTGGTATGTGCACAATATAATATAAAATTAATTGTATTAAAGACCACAAGAAGCAAAATATTTGTGAAATTCACAGGATGCAAGTTCTGTTAGGTGAGTTCTAGACCTGTACGTCCTATATAGTAGCCATGTAGCCCCAAGTGGTTTATGAGCATGTGCTATGTGGCCATTGTTCCTTGAGATGTATTGTAAGTGCAAAATATAGCTAGATTTAGAAGGCTTGGTACAAGAAAGAAAACTAATGTGAGATATTATTTATATATTGGGTTAAATATGTTGTTAAATTATTTCATCTCTTTTTACTTTTTTTTTTTTTGAGACAGGGTCTTACTCTGTCACCCAGGCTAGAGTGCAGTGGTACAAGCTCAGCTCACTGCAACCTCCACCTCCTGGGTTCAAGCAATTCTCCCACCTCAGCCTCCCAAGTAGCTGGGACTACAGGCACCATGCACAGCTAAATTTTGTATTTTTGTATTTTTTAGTAGAGACAGAGTTTCACAATATTGGCCAAGCTGTTCTCAAACTCCTGGCCTTAAGTGGTCCACCTCCTTTAGCCTCCCAAAGTGCTGGGATTACAAGCATGAGGGCTTTTTTTTACTTTTCAGTGTCTCTACAAAAACATTTTAAATTATTTATATGGCTAGCATTGTATTGCTATTGGACAGCTCTGTTTTAGATCAAACACGTGGCTTAGTATTGAACACCTTTCAGTATGCTTCCTAAGGCTTTTGCTTATTTCATTACCCAGTCAAATGCAGCAGACCTACCTTGATCATTTACACTTTTGCTTTTATATCTGGGTCCAAGAGTGCGGCAGCTGTGTGAACTCAGTGACAGCATAACCTTTTTGCTATTCATTTTTCTTAGGAATTATTTTTACTTATCCATTCAGAATGTATTAATCTGGCAAACATTAAATGAAAACTTTCTGTGAAGAGTATTGTACGAGGAATTTGTGGGGCTCAAGAGTGATTCAACTAGCAGTTCTTCTTTTCTAGAATTCATAACGGGATGAGGAAGATTAGATATACTATAATCTAAGTAATAGAAAATAGATTATGGTAACATCATCATTCACTCGTTCAGTACTTTGTGTCTTGTGTCTTCAGAGGAAGAAAGCTTCATAGCTAAACATGGAGCTTCAGGAGACCTGCAAGTATGGATAGGTTTTCAAAGGGCAGAAATTTAGGATAAGAATCAAGATGTAGGAGCCGGGCCCAATAGCTCACACGTGTACTCCCAGCACTTTGGGAGGCTGAGGTGGATGGATCACCTGAGATCAGGAGTCTGAGACCAGCCTGGCCAACATGGTGAAACCCCGTCTCTACTAAAAATTAAAAAAAGAATTTAGCCAGGTGTGGTGGTGGGTGCCTGTAATCCCAGCTACTCGGAAGGTTGAGGCAGGAGAATCGCTTGAACCTGGGAGACAGAGGTTGCAGTGAGCCTAGATCCTGCCACCACACTCCAGCCTGGGCAACAAGAGCAAGACTCCATCTCAAAAAAAAAAAAAAAAAAAAAAAAAAAAAGATGTACGTAAAGTGTAAAGGAAGACAAACAAAGTAATTGATATATTAGGAAATAAGTTGCACACCCTGGTTAGAGTATAGAGTACATGAAAGGAAGATTGTGTTTTAAAAAACTGGGAGAGTATGTAGTTTACAGAGGGTTGGGAGTGTGAACTTAATCTGGTAGGCTGTGAAGATCATGTAGGATCTTTGTATAGAAAAGCTACGTGATCAGAACTGTACTTGCAAGAAATTCATACGACTACAGGATAGAAGATAATTGATGAGTATAGATTGTAGGGTGGATATTAATCTAGGTTCATCTTAAAGGAACTGCTTTGTGTATGAGTCTGCTTATGCTCTGTGATGCAGCAGTAACAACCTTAAATGTTCGATGGCTAGAAGCAACAAAAATACCTCTCTGATGTTACATGTCAGCTGAGGTTTCCTGTGGCCCTGTACCGTATGACTTCAAGATTGAAGGAACAACCACTATCTGGGACCTGCTAATACTGTGGCAGAGTAGAACAAAAGAAAGGGAACCATGCAGTGCCTTCTTAAAGCTGTTGCCCAGACTGGCATATGTCACTTTGTTCACACTTAATTGGCCAAAGCAAGTCACACAGCCAAGCCTGATGTCAGTAGAGTCAGAAATTATATTCCTTCCTACTACAGGCATTTCATGTGATGTGGCGATAGGCAGGGATGTGTGATTCCCTTTCCAGGAGGGCCGGTAGTCATTTGGAACAGTAATACAATATACCACATTTTGTCATTATAAATCACATTTCTAAAAATTTCCCAAGGCCTTTTTTATTTCTCTTTTTAACAACAAAAATGTCCTCAGAAACATAGTGCTGTGATTGTGGTTATGGTTGTTGTTGTTTTTGCTGTTTTGAGACAGAGTTTCACCCTCGTTGCTTAGGCTGGAGTGCAATGGCGTGGTCTCGGCCATTGTGCAACCTCCACCTCCCAGGTTCAGGCAAAGTGCTGTGTATTTCTACCTTGAAATTTCTGCAGGTTCTACTCCTCTCCCTTTTCCTTCTGCCCAGCTTTGTTCAAAACCAGATGTTGTCACTGTTAACTCTGTGCCTTTAGTCTACAGTGCCACCGGCGGAGTACCAGGTCACGTGGAATGTGGCACCCAAGAAGAAAAGATATCTACGTCCCTTGTTTCTTGTTGTTAATCCATCTCCCTGTTCAGAACAGTGAAAGCCTTCTGGACCAGGGAGTCTCTTGGATTCCATTTGGCCTGAGTAAGCCCCAGAAGAGGGAACTCTTTATCAGTCTTTTCCAGCATGACTTAACTGAGAGTGAATGTTTGCAACCTCTGGGCTG